CGCCTCCCGGCTCCCCGCCAAGCTGGACGCCAAGAAGTCCCGGCGCAAGTGCTTCTGGTTCCTGTGAGCCGGGGGCCTCCGCGCCGACGGCGACGCTTCCTCCCGCCTCCTCTCCCTCTCTCCCGTGTTAGGGTTTGGGTAGCACCAGCTTTTATATTTTTAACTGTTCCCTTTAACGTACAAGAGCCCCCGTGTAAATAAGAGGCGAGGGGAGCAACCGCTGTATTTAGGGAAAAAAATAATAAATTCCAGGGTGACGCTATTTTTGGTACACGCTCTCCGGCTCTGCGCTTCTGTTCCGCAGGAGGACGGGAACCCCGGCGCTCCAAGCGGCTCCGGGCCTGGGCTGCGCAGTGCTCCACGCAGCCACTCCGGGCTCCTCACCGGGGAGCTCGTTGTCCCGGTGGGGACAACCGGTGGGGACACGGCAGCGCGATGGGGCGCGTTCCCTGGGGGCTGGCGGCCCAGCCGGGTTCTCAGCGGCACCACAGGGGACAACGTGGCCTGGGGTGGCCCCGGCATTGCATAACCTCTGCATGCGAGAGACGGCCCTCCCTGCAGGCCCTGGGATGTGGTGGGGAGCCTGTCCCCAAAGCACTGCAGCGCCGGGGCTGGGAGCGCATGGGGACACGGCGGGGACACCCTCCCTTGCTGGCCAGGACGAGCATGATGTGCCGGCATGTGGCTGAGCACCGTGCAGCTCACTGCATGCCTGCAGCCGAGCACTGTGCAGCTCGTTGCATGCCTGAGCACATTGCAGCTTGCTGCATGCCCACGGCTGAGCACTGTGCAGGTCGCTGCATGCCCGCAGCTGAGCATCATGCAGCTTGTTGCATGCCCAAGCACCTTGCAGCTCGCTGCATGCCTGTGGCTGAGCACTGTGCAGCCTGCTGCATGCCCGAACACCGCACAGCTCACTGCATGCCCACGGCTGAGCACTGTGCAGCTCACTGCATCTCACTGCGTGCCCTGAGGACGAGGTTCACAGCGGCCGCACCGCGGGGCTGCCGCCTGCTCCCTGCTCTGTGCGTGGGCCGGGCCGCGTCACCCTGCCCGGGCCGAGCACCAAACTGCTCCCGTGCTGCCCTTGCCAGCACGGAGCTGCACGGGGGGAGCCGCAGCGATGCCAAGAGCCCCTCGCTGCGGCGCAGGGGGCAGCACGAGGGCTCACGACCCCGCACCAAGTGGTGGCACTGCCCGTTGAGCGCGAGGTCAGTGCCGGTGCCATCTCTGTGCACCCCAGCACCAACCGGGGCGCCCCAAGGCCGGGCAACGTCGCGACGCTCCGTCGGGTCCAGGCTCCCAAACCCTCCATCTCCTCCCAGAACCTGCTCCCAGGCAGCTTTCCCCCATCCCAAACACGCTTCCCGTGCATGCCCCCCCCTCGCACCCGGCACGCAGAGCCGCATCCCGCCACGGTGGCTGCCCCCGACACGGGCCCCCCC